CCTCCCACAGAGGACAGAGAGATAGAGCCTTCAGAAGTATCTTTCTGAGTTCAAATCTGGCCTCAGCCACTTATTAGCTGTGTGACTCTGGGCAAGTCACTTAACCCAGTCTCCCTCATTTTTTTCATCTGTAAAATGAGCTGGAGAAAGAAATGGCAAACCACTCAGGTATGTTTGCCAAGAATCCCCTAAATGGGGTCACAAAGAGTCAGACATGACTGAAAACAACTGAACAACAATAACCTAGACTATTAGCTAGCCAATGACTTGGGATGACGTGCATGCATTACCCTGGGTGGGTAATGAGTGAGGGTGTCACACATAACAGAGGTGTCTCCTGGCACGGGTGACACACAAATAATTCATGTAAGGTCTTCTGGATGCAAATTACTATTTAACATGTACTGTGAAAGCATATCATTTATGTGAACCTTAAAAATGTAAAGGTGAGTATAATTTGTAAGAACAGCAAAAAATCTTAAGGGGGGAGGGGAGAATATAGAAGGATGTCCAAGTGTTTCCCTCTTCACTGTGTAGGTAGGAAACAATCATTTAAGGACATACTGCTATGGGCTAGACGTTATGCTGGGGATGAGTTCCTGCCCACAAGGAGCTTACATTCTAATGAGTCAAGACAATACATGGCAGGGAATTGTAAAGGGAGTGGGGGAGAAGGGAGAAGATATCTGAGTGGGAACATAGTGGCAAAATACCTTCAGAAGAACACCTGAGAGCGGAAAGAAGCATGGCTGGCTTGGGCCCATCCCCAAAATGGAGGCTGCCAGGAGGAACTAAGCAATGGAGAAGGAAGCAGGGATGTTACAGGCTGAGAAGGCCCCAGACATCCAGAGAGGTCCAAGGGTGTGAGGGAAATTGAATCATGGTGGCAAATGAGAAATTCTAGAGAAGCACAGACCTCCTGTGCCCAGCCACAGATGGCTTGAGAAGAATAATCAGCTCAGCTGCCCCAGGAGAAATCTTGGAGAACTGAGGTGGGTGATGGGAGCCTCAGAATCCACTGACACAGGCAGGAAGCACTGGTGTGCTTCAGAGTCCAGAAGCAGAAAGATCACTGGGAATTCACCCTAAGCCAAGAGACTATTGATGAGAAAGAGGAAGAGGAGAAGGGGGCAGCTGGGTGGTGCAGTGGATAGAGCACCGGCCCTGAAGTCAGGAGGTCCTGATTTCAAATCCAGCCTCAGACCAAACACTTCACACTTACTAGCTGTGTGACCCTGGGCAAGTCACTTAACCCCAATTGCCTAAAACAACAAAAAAAAAAATTTTATAAAACACTTTACAAATAGTGTCTCATTTTATCCTCACATCAGCACTGGGAGGTAGATGCTATTATGATTCCACTTTACAACTGAGGAAACTGAGGCAGGCAGGTTAAATGACTTGCCCAGAGAAACACAGCTAATAAGTGTCTGAGGCCAGATACTTCCTGACTCCAGGCCCAGCAGTCTATCCACTGAGCCACCCAGCTAACTTCTTAGAATGAAGCAGAAAGACTGGGGTTGGAGGTTTTGTTCAGTAGAAGGTAGAAATGGCCCCTTTTTTGCTTTGAACCTGGCCTAGAGACTCTTTCATTTGGCCACATTTTCTTACTGGTTTGAGAGGGGAAGCTACGTTGTCTCAGACTTCAGAGAGTTAGGAATTAATGCCGACATTTGACGACTCTTACATTTATAACCCATGGAAAGGGACCCTTAGCGGTCACAGGTCTTCCTTCCTTTATCTCTGTCCTTCCTCCTCCCCATCCTTAGCCCACCGCATATCCTCCACATTTGTGGAATCAATTCCAGTGTGTGGTGTTGATGAGGTAGCATTTATCACATGCACGATATAAAACACGCACTGAGTATTACATTTTATTTTGTCACAAGATACTTAGCCCTCAGATAGACCCTTTCACAACACGCATCCCCCCAGAAACGATACATCGAACGACGCATTAACCACCGTTAATGCGAAGGACGTCTTTTCAAGCTCTGGCAGTTTGGTACCAGCATTGACCTACCTAAACTAGCTTGCTTCCATGCCACCCCACTAATATTGGTGCATTCACGTCCATCCGTTTCTCTCTTGCTTTCTTCATCCTTCCAGGCTGCTTAGGGGTCATTATAACATGTAGCGAGAACTAGGAAGGTCATCAGAAGCCAACAGCTCCAACTCCCTCATCGTTGTGACTCAGAAACTGAATCCCAAGTTATTTGTTATTTTCCTCACCAAGGTAATCAGCCTCGACAGCAGGGACTGCTGTCTACCTTTGTCTGTATTCTCCATACTTAGCACAGAACCATATCAGGCTCTTCATAAAGGCTAGTGGTTATGACTTACTACTTTTCTTTTTTTTCTTTTGTTATTTTACTACTTTTCTCTTCATGAGAAATGCCATTTTTTTTTTGTATTTGTGTCTTGGGAGTGTACTATACAGATGAACTTTAAAGTATGAAGTGTTCGTGGTACTGATTTTATAAATGTAAATTTTAAGATGCTTTGATAGTTTCATTTTAGCTAAGTAAATACACACACATTTATGTATTTATGTATACATGTATGTACATATATATACACATACACACAAAATTACTGTGGCTATCCCTCAGCTTGTACAATCTTGAGACAATGCCCAGTGTGTTACACCAAGAAAACAGGGCCAAATGTAAGGGTCCACCTACAGGGAAGGCAAAGAGGAAAAAAAATAATTTCCTTCTGATATTGAAAAAAATAATCCACTGATCTACCAGCCTTCCATCTTGTGTTGAGACCTGGCTGATGAGCATTTTCCAAAGCAGGATTCGACTATGCACACAGCAGCTTCTCTTAGTTTTATTGCAGGTTTTTTTTTTCATTACAAACACAAACTCTGAAGAATGTCAGCATTTCAGAGTTCTGGCCAGTCACACAGGCTCTGTTGTCTTCCTGTCAACTGGAGGAAAGAATTTAGCAGCATGTGGAGACAAATACTTGCTGCCGTGCCAAAGCCACCCAAATACGGATGCTTCAGATCATAGACTGGAGATAGAAGGTGCCTCAGCTCTCACTTCCTCCTTCCCCTGGAGAACTTGAGAGCTCCCCAAAAGAACAAAGCTACTGAGCCCCTAGCATTTGGCTCTGAGAACTGTGATGGGAGCCTGGACCTCTGGAACGAGTCCAGTGAATTTTAGACATTTCACTCAAATTGCATTTTTTTATGTGACTTCTTAAACTTGCTCATTTGTTCTATGTCTTTCCAGGGCAATGGAAAAGGTTGGGGAGGGTGGACTCAGGGCCCTCCCATGATGTCTACACAGATGCTCTGAGCAAGGGCTCAAAAATGCTGATTCCAACCAGACATCCTGAGTTGAGCCTTTATCTACACCTCAGGCTGCTATGGAAAAGGAGGCATTGTCTAGGACAATTTTAGTAAAATGAATTTATTCAAAAAGAGAATTACATAATTTTACCTCTTGTTTTGTAAAAAGCACCACAAAAAACCAGGCAGATAAAAAGGCCACAGGTTTAAAAAGTAACATATATACAAAAGACTGTTGCAAATAACATTAAATACACATAGCCAAGTACAAACATATAATTTAATAAGCTTTTCATGTTAAAAAAAAATTCACCCTATAATTTCTGAAGAACCAGTGAAAATTAAAATTAAACAGAAAGCAAAGAGAAAAAGGGAATTACATCAACAAAAGTTGGAAATTTAACAATGTAGTCTTTCAACAGATTTTTCATTAAAGGACACTGATATTCAAGTTCCTAATTTTGTTTTGAATCTTTAAGATGGAATAGTTTTTTGTTTTTATCCCATTAACTCTTCAATCTGTGGTAGCTCACCATTTTGAATGTTAGAGTAGAGATTTACAAATGAAGGTCCAATTGGTGAATTTAAAAGAAAATTCTGACTACTTAACCCATGAAGATCAAACTTAAGTTGATTTCATTTATGTACCTACCAAACAGAGTTAGGCACGGTATTTCCACATTGCCTCCAACCTCAATATGGACCCTAATCTAAGGGCCAAACTCAGCCATCCCAAGAAACATAAAGTCACCAGTCACTCAAAGGTTGGGAAACGGAAAACTTGGGAAAGTAGTGGTTTAAGCTTAAAAGTGCAAAAAAAGATTTGCTGACTGCCCCACTCCCCCACACCTTCCTGAGATTATAAATTAAGTTACTGAACAAGCCACAACTAGATCTTTCAAAAGAATTGTAAAGTTTCAAAAACAAGCACGTTGCAAACAAGAGTTTTGCTAAGACCATGACCCAGAACGCTGAGTTAGTACAGAGTCCAAAACCCAGTTACATAACTTGCCTCAGAAGAAACCTCATTATAGGGCATAGAGTTTGGTGCTCTCTATTTGAGACAATAGATTTGTGTGCACACACTCTGTACTCTTTAAAGCACATTCGGAAGCTTTAGTCTAAGCTCCTAACTTGGTCTTGAAACTTTTAATACACACACACATAAAATGGCACCTACACGTGTCTGTTCCTACACATTCAAAAGCGAGTTTCCAAACTGCTCTGATCAGGTCAGATTTCCTGCATTTAGCTCCCATGGGAGCTGCATGCTGCTCAAAAGAGACTCCTCATCCAGTGAACAAACAACACATTCCTTGACGGGACCCAAGAGTCATGTTTCGATACAAACTAACATGCTTTATATACAAGAAATAAGGGTCGGGGTAGTTTTAATTCTGATGGGCCCTCTAGGAGAACTGTGATGGCAAACCAGGCTTTTTCGGTGGGCAAAAGCACTGTACCCAGGCTCTTTAGTAAAACCCAATGAGAAAACCAGTGTGTGATGGGGATGCCGGGGGATGAAGAGTGTGGTGGGGTGGGGCACAGGTATGAACAGGCAAAACTGTCCAGGTTCCACTGTCCCTTTTCCACAGGGAAATACCAACTCCTAAGGCAACAGTGAGGAGCTGAGTAAACAGTAGTACCAGCTGAACTCATTCTAGCATTGATACATAGGCCACAAATTAATCCACAGGAATTAATAAGAAAAATCTATTTTTATATTCAAGATTTACATATTAATGGAAAAGCATTACAACAAGCAGTATTATACAGAGAACATAGGAGGTTCCAGAACATTCCATAATGACACAGCCCCACCTCTCATAGCACAATACAATCTTCCAATGAAAGTGAGTGAATCTGTAACTTAAACCTAGAACTCAGCAGAGTGGAGATCTGGCATCCGAGTTCTCAAAGAGGAAAGCTATCCCCGACTCACTCGGAGAGAAGGCAAGTCCACAAAGCAATGCCTCTCAACTCCAGACTGCCTTGTCTAATCCTGAGCAGGGTCACAACTAGATGGAAGTCACTGCAAGGCAAGGATAAACCTGGCAGCCCTCCCTCCATCTCAGGCCTTCTCTCCCTCACACCCATAGCCACCCCCTTCAGGCACCTGACAAGCCTGTCCATGCAACCACCAATCAAGGTGGTTAAAGGGCACTTGGCCCCCAATTCTGTAGGGTCAGAAACAACACATACAGAAACAGTATTTGTGCCCAAAGCGGCAGCCATGGTGTAAAGGTCAGAGCCAGGCTGGGTCGAAGGCCCCCCTCAGCCATGTACTGGGCATGCGGCCCTGGGTAAATAGCTTCAATTCTTCAGAATCCATGCAGCTCGCTATCTCAGACCACAAGGAAGTCTGTACCTGCTTTGGCAGAGGGAGTTTCCTTCTCTGGGATTTCCCTCTAAAGGTGGTGGCAGCTAAAGTTCCTTGTTCCAGTTCGTCCCAAATAGATGCTACTGCATTCCAGCAGCTCTCCATATAAACAACTTAATTAGGCAGTACTGAAAAAAGGGAGAGGACAATGGCCACCTGGCGGCCCGGCCTTGTACCTTGGCATGCCTGGGAAACCCAACAATGCCAAATCTACTATTATGGCGCTGCCATGTTCAGCCTTGCGGATAATGGAGGGAGCTCCCCTTTTCTGATCAGGACAGGAGGTGGGTCAATGTCTCTTCTTGCTTACCAGGTGACAGCTTTCACCTCACAAGCTAACAATCTGGCAGCTAGCTTCCACCCAAACTCTACTATGGACTAGAGGCTATCACAGTTGTTTAAAGCCACACATACAAACCCAGCCTCAATCAGAAAGTCATTTATAGCGGGCAAGCCAAAGACCCTCCAAGGTGGGGATGGGATATTTGAAAAAGAATGATTTATTCTGCTTCATGGCTGAGCTGCAATTGCACCTAGGTATGATATGAGATGAGAAAAACGAGACTCCTGTATCTGAAAAGTTGAACACTTTTTCCCCTTTTAAATAGGTTAAATAATATTCAATAAGGTAAAATTCAGTCACTCAATGTTTAGGTTTTTTCTTTTTTGAAATCTCCCCCCAAATTTCAAATAAGCAAATTAATTCAATAAGAGCAAAGGTCAATCAGATGAACATTTCATACCATTTATACGAACACACAGTGCTATTTGAAAGCCAACACAGTCAAGGTGATCTTGTCACAGTATCACAGAAAGGTTCGTCACTTGATGGAAATGGGTTTTAAAGAAAAAAATAGCAACAAGAAATTTCATTAAGGAACACACTTTAGCAGTAGTTGGGAAAAAAGCAACCTGAACAGAGCTCTGAGCAAAATGCTGGCTTAACAAAGTGCATCCTCATCCCCTCCCCGCAGTGAGTAAACACAGACAGCTGGTCTTAATAGAGTCCAAGTCTGTATTTTATAAGCACTCTCCACCCGGCTTGCTTATCCTCTGGTTCCTGCCTTCTCTACTGTTCTCCTAGCCATTCAGTGGCTGGGTAAGAGTGGTTTGGGGGACTTCAGGTTTCCTCGTCTGGGACTTCTGAACATTTTCAAACTTCAGTAAACCAAAATCAATTAGGAATACAATGCTCGCCAAAAATCCAAATACCTAAAAAATAAAAAGAGCAAGTTAATTCAAATCCACACACCTGCATCAACGATGACTTTGAATTACAAGTTGAATTTGACAACGTCAATCTAACCACAATGATAGCATTGACATAACACTCTTCACAAATGTTATCTCATGTAATCTCCACAACAACCCTAGAAGATGGGGGCCATGATTATCCTCCTTTTACAGGTGAGGAAGCTAAGAGTCGAAAGCTGAGACACATGCCTGGGGCCACAGAGCTAGAAAAGCCCAAGTCTTCTGGACGCTATGTCTGTCCAGCAGCCTGCCGGCGGCACAACTAAGCTGCCGAAACAGCCAACAGCTCGTTGGTTTTAGTTTGTTCACTTCTATAACCAAATACCAAACTCTTTTTGTTCTTGTTGAAAATCGTCCAGCCACTGGCAGGGGCACCTGGGCAGGGCTCCTGAGGGGACACAGAGCTGAGCAGCAAATAGGACCCAAGGAGGGATCTTTGGAATCTCCAATAGGTTATGCCTGAGAATGAAAAAACACCTACTAGTCCTGGAAAGAACTTCACCTTTAAGCCAATCTTCACCCTTTTAATCTCATGAGCCCCTTTGGTCACAGGGTGAAGCCAATGCACCCATCTGAGAAGAATGTTTTCAAATAACTGAAGGAAATGCTAAATTTCAGTTCTAAGTTAGTAAAAATGAAGCTATAAGCTCATATCCACAGGCCCAACAATTCAGTTTCATTTCTGAGCCTAATAGTCCAAGCAATAAGAGAAAATCCAATGAGGACAAAAACCAACAAGAATTTTATACAGAGTAGAGTGTCCACTGAAAACAGGAAAACAGACATGAGGCACAGCGCTGGACAAGGTCCGTGCGGCCAAATGTTTGTAGTCAATGAAGAGATGACCTGAATTTTCAACATTATCAACCTGGCCTTGTCATTAAAGTAAAACAATCGTTTCCTGCCACGTCTCTGCTCAAAACTGTCTCCAAAAACAGATAAAATAAAGTGATGTCCTCCCCCATTGGTATCTCTCCTGTACTCAGCTAGTACCACAGCTTTCAATTATTCAAAAACCACTCACTGTGCTGTGCTGGGAACATCAAGATGGAACAGAACCTTGAAGCTGTAATGGTAAGTGAGGGCAGAGGGAAAGCCATCTCTTCTTCTGAGAGTGAAAGCATGGAAGAGGTTTTAAGAAGTTTTGAGGGGAGGGACACTCTTGTCAACAGATCAGGAAGGCAGAGTTTTCTGCTGAGAGGGAGAGCAGGGGAAGCTGAGAGCTTGAAGAGGGTGAAAAATGTCAGCGTGGCCATCGACAATGGGGCAGCAAATCGCTAAGAGAGGGGAAAAAAGACTGACCAACCACGAGGACCCATTGGAGGCAAGAAGCCTGCCAGCAGTGCTTAGGAATAGGGGCAGAGAAGGTTCCTCAGGGCTGGGAGGAGCCAGGCAGCAGCTGGCGCAGGATAAGGATTCAAAAGAAGAGAAAAGTGAAATGGCCCCACTACTAACACACTTGCCTAAGGCTGGCTTTACTGACAGAGCCTCAAGCAGTCCATCACCAGAGGAAACAGGGGATCCTACAGAGAGCTCCGAGATTTAGCTCAACAACATCTCCCCAGACGCCATGATGCTGATAATCACACAGTCCAGGAGACGAAGGCAAAGCACTGACTTTCCTTTCTGTCTTTTGCTGGACTGTTTAAAAAGCTAATTGTAGGAATTCAGTTTGGATAAAAGAACTTCTAAAAGAGACAAAAAAAAACTGGAAAGAAGTTCATTAGGAAAAGAAGACAAGGGAGAAGATACATCTACTTACAACTGCAGCGGTTTCGGGTGAGGTCCCATCACTGGTGCAAGCAAAGGTTACTGACGCTATCAAAAACATCAATCCAGTTATCAAAGTGATATAGAAGTCCTGGGGTCCACAGACAAAGGGAAAGAGACCAAGGTGAGCATTCAGAAAAGTCAAGTTCAATATTTGTCTAACAAAAAACAAACCCCACAAAGTGAGGAGTAAACGTTTTCTCTTGGGGGAATGATCCAATCTTCAGCCTACCCACAGCTTTACTCAACTTTTAGACTGGGTTTATTCCCCAGGGACTGGTCCTTTTGCTAGGTTTCTCCCCAGGTATTCAGCTCATGCCTGGAAGCTGAAGCAACTGAACCCTGCTGAGCTACAAGCAAAGGGGAACCGCCACCCCCCCGGGTGCCCAGCACTTTATGCTAACGCTTCCTTGGAAGGGCAGATTTTTCTTTTAAAAAATTATTTTTATTCAAAACGTAATAAACACCAACCATGTGGGCATTTCCATAGATGAAGCAGAACGGAACAGGGATCCATGACTCTATTACACACTACCAGCTTCCCACCCCCAGTACACCGTAACTCAACGGGTAACTTCCAAAGGCCTCGGGAGGCCTGCACGACATGTTGTCTTTCCATTTAGAAGATCTTTCCTTCTCCATTTTTATCCTAAGCTCCTCCTCTTCATCATTTCTGTTGGTTTCTTAATAAAAAAGGAATTATTAACTGTGTTGGGGCTTGTTTGTTTTTTGATCAAGCCCGAATAGGTGAGGAAGCACCACTTCTATTCCTACCAATGCAATCGGTGGCCTTCACATCATCTAAAATGGCAATTCCAAACTACCAGGGCTAGATCACCTGCCTACCCACCTGGAGGAGGTTTTTAAATCGACTTGTCTCTCATTACATAATAAAAGCTACCTTTTCCTTTTAATAATGCTTTGTCATTTTGCAAAGTAACTCCCTAAGGGCATAATCTCTGACACATACAATCAGCTTAAGAGGAAATTCAGTCTTCATGTTCAATGTTCAATCTCCCTTCAAAGAAGCCAATCTGGAGGCACAGCAGAATTGGTGTGACGCCATCAAATAAGGATGCAGCTGGAGCCTACGGAAGAGCCTTGGCCTCCCTCCGAAGCCCAGGGAGGCTGAATCTCTAAGCCTTCGGGCTGTGAGCCACTGGCTTTTCTCTCTGTGCTGTTCTAGTCCCTGGTGGTAACATTCAGTATCTACTAAGATGAAAAATCCCTCAGAGAGCTGCATCTCTTAACAGGTTATCTTGTTAGAGAAAAGGAAAACAGGACATAGCCAAGATTTTTTCTTCCTGAAAGACCACCATTTTTATCTAAGTTATCTTTTCCTGAATAGCACCATGTTCTAGGCGGATGCTGTAACATTTGTCCTTCCAGAAACCATGGCCCCTGCCCTCAAGGAGGGCAGAAGATGCCCAAGGCTGACAGACCACAACTGTTTAGATAATTTAAAATGTCCCAATGGATGGACCTCTTACAGAGGTGAAAATGTCAAGACAACACATTTAAGGCAAGGTTCCTTTTTAGGGACTGTCCTTAAAATGGCAGCCACATACACAGTAGACCCAGAGTGCCACAGGACTCACAAACCCCCATAAAAGTACCAAAGGCAACAATTCTAATTTTCTACTGAATTTAATGCATGTAAATATCAAAATATTAATAAACACACTTTTGTCTTAGTATATCGCTTTCTTTCTCATCTTAAACCCTACACTGCCCTCACACTCTATCTTCTTTCTATCATTCTATGTGGCAAAGGGAAAGGTTGGTAGGAGATAAATATGTAGAAAAATCTCGAGTGATTGCTAAAAGCCTATTATCAATCAAACAATTAAGACCCACTAATTAGGGGACTGCTTTTGCCAGGGTCCCTCTGAGGGCTGGGTGAGGAGATGGTGCAGGAGCTCTCACCGACTTCTTCACTTTGCTCTGGTCCACCCTGTCGTACAAACTGGTGAAGCAGACAATCACCACAAGCAGGCTCAGGAGGAAGGCACTACAGCTGACAAACTCAAAAAAGTAAAGGCCTCCGCACTGCGTGCAGCGGGACACAACCTCCTCACAGATGAAGGCCGCCAGAGACAGCACCTGCAAACCAGACGAGGGAAAAGTCAGAATCACAGAGAAAACCAAGACATTTAAGGCAAAAGGGCGCAATGTCCTCAGTTAACTCCAAAAGACTAGACTGGCCGCGAGACAAAACAAATCCAGGCACAGCCCTGAAAGCAGAAGCTGTCACACTGTGCTCAACACGGGAAGATAAGCACAAGTCACATTTATCTGGCCCCTGCAAAGGGTTTAGGGGAAAAGGTGGATTGCCCCACTCTCTTGCTCCTCCAAGTTATCCTGAAGGCACAGGTCCTGACCAAACAAAAGAATGCATCTCTGGAAAAGAACCAAAGCCTGCAGTTCTAAGGACCCTGGCAGGTTGAGTGAACGAGTACTAATCGAGTGCCTCCTAGGTGCCAGGCAGTGCCAAACACTGGGGACAGTAAGAAAGGTCCTGCCTCTGAGGAGCTCAAAGGCTACTCAACTCCTCCCATTTAATGGACATAACACACAGATGCAAACTACTCGTCCTAAACTAATCGAGACCGTGGATGAGTTCAGTGAAAGTGTCACAAACCAGCACAGGATAGAGTGAATAGAAAACCCCAGAAAACAAATAAAAAGCCACCTGCTTCTGGGGCTCTCTCAAGTCACAACTGCAGTTTTGAAAATGTGCTTCCTTACTCATCAGTGACCATCTCAAAAATATGACTACTACACTAAAACACTAAGTATCTAGTATTTCAGATTCTTTTATCTGTAGTTAGAAGTTTCTCTTCCCTATTCCACTGTAAAATGAAAAAAAATATTTCCAGTATGATCATTATTCTATTTTTGTGTAAGATGAAACTTATTTTTTCCCTTCCTGCTTAGTCTCTGGTCCTTTACCAAGAGAAAACCCTTTCTATATTACATCATATTCATTATGAATGACATAGTTCAAAAGAAAAATGTTGGCTGTGTTTCTACTCAAATGCAAATCAAACATTTAAGTGATTACTACTAGGAATGTAAAACCAAAACCAAAAAGTAAAATAAAAACTACCATTCTTCCCCTCAAATGACTCTCCTTGGAAAAGTCTAGAAGGTCATGACATACACATGGATGAGTAATGACCAAGAAATTTCAAGAGACTCTTAACAACGGAGAAGCTCAGAAAAGGCACCCAGAGGTGCTTTAAAGGAGACTAGAGATACTATGAGGGAGAAGGGAGAGAGGAGGGCATTGCCAGCAGAGGGTCCCCGGAGGCTGGAGAAGGAATGCTGTGTAGAGGAAGCAGCAAAGAAGGTCAGTCAGTTTAATGACCTGGAAAACTGGTTAAGGAGAGAAAACTTAATCATTGGATCCCTGAAAACCATGATTTTAAAAAAGATCTGGACACTAGACTTCAAGAAATTATAAATGAAAAGTGCCCAGGGAAAAGTGAAGAGGGGCAGCTAGGTGGCTCAAGCACGGGCCCTGGACTCAGGAGGACTTGAGTTCAAATCCAGCCTCAGACTCAAAACACCCACTAGTTGTGTGACCCTGGGCAAGTCACTTAACCCCATTGCCTAGTGGAAAAAAAAGAAAGAAAAGTGAAGAGAGAAGGAATCTATTGATTACCCCCTAAAAGAAACCTCAAAAGGAAGTCTCAGGAACATCAAAGCCAAAGCCAGGACTTTCAGGCCAAAGAAAAAATTACTGAAATCATTCAAAAAGAAATAGCTTGAGCACCCAAGAAACCACTTCTTAGATGACATAAGACCAGGTAGTTTCTACTACAAATGAGATCTTGGGATTCACCATTCCAAAAGACAAGACACGTGAGTTACAACCAAGAATAATTTAACCTGCAAGGCTGAGTACAATCCTACAGAACTTAAAAAAAAAAAAGAATCGTAACGGTCTTTCAAGGATTTCTGATGAGTAGGAACTTTGAAATACAAACATAACAGCCAAGAGAAACCTAGAAAGGGAAACTGATTTGAGCAATTCAAAGGGCTTGTACTCTATAGTTAGGTTCTACCATTGTAAAGTAGGTGAAGTAAAGTGGCCGTTTAAAGGGCATAGAGTTAAATAAGAGAAACAGATGATGTGGGGGTAGGTTGGTTCTGTTCTGAGGACTTAAGAGGGGCAAGAGAAGGCAGGGTAAAAGGAACACAGGAGTGTAGAAAGAAACAAAGGCATAGAAGATGCCATTTCTCCGAACTGGAGTCCGTGGGAAGAGGATGCAATCACAGAGGTGGGGGGGGGGCCATACAAAGGAGCCTCTTATCTGAAACAGACAAAGAAGAGTTGAACACATACATGCACACGTAGTTTGGCATAGGGATACACTGAACTCAACAAGGAAATAAGCAGGGATGGGGAAGGAGTAAGAGGGAGGAAAATACTAAGGATGAAACAGTCCCAAGCAAAACAACCTTCACGACCCTGAACAAGAATTAAAAGGGGAGAAAAGAACAGAACAGAACAGAACTAGAATCTAACCCATCAGTTGCAGAATGGCTGAACAAAGTGTGTCAGGTGAAATCTAACAGATTAATGAGTGACGAAAGACCATTTCAGAGAACCCGGGGTGGTGGGAATTGATAGGGAGCGAAGTGAGCAGAACCCAGAGAACGAGTCCAGGTCACCCAGCTGGCGAGCTTCTTCGAGGCCAGTGCTCTATCCACCGGGCCATATGCTGCCAGAACTCCTACTCGGAGGTGGCGTAGAGAGGTCTGAACCTGGGTGAATGGAAGCATATTAGCACCCTCAACAGAAAAAAGGAAGCTTGGAAGAGGGATCCATACTCTGATGCACCGCGCCTGAGATGTCTACGTGACGGGGAGAAACGTGGTCTGGCAAAGCAGGTGGTAACAGCACAGGAGCTCAGGGTTAAGGATATATGAAAGCATTTTCTAATCCTGTAGCTACTAGTGACTCCTCACCAAATGACCTAGCGTAAATGTATTATAGAGGTGTTATCTCTCACCTCCCTCAACAGAATTAAGTTCTTTGAGAGCAGACGCTGTTTAGTTTTTAATTTAGTAAATGCTTGATTGATACAGAGATTTGGGAGTCATCTGCATAGAGATCACCAAGGGTTCAGAAAAGAGAGAAGAGGCCAAGCCAGAGCCATGGCAAGGTTCAAAGACCCAGATGCCCTGGACTGCCAAAGTGGCGAACTTGGAAAGGCGCTCCCACCCCGTAAACCGGTACACTCATCGTTCCAAGCTCCACAGTTGGGAGCAGAATATGCATTTCATGGCCACAAGGTTCTCGGCCTGCCCCCACTAGTGTGTCCCCAGACTCCTCCACATCTCTATCCCCCTCTTCCACCACAGCCCTTTACAGCTCATTTTTTCAACCACCTTTCCAAGAAGCACACAACAGTGGGTGTGCTCAGAAAAGAGCTGGGTTTGCATCAGCCATTATGAACTAATTGAAGACAGTTAAATGTTTGAAAAGAACAGAATGAGAGAAGTGGGAAAGTAGAGATCCCCCCAAGATCTTATCAAACAAAAGAAAGTGCTTAAAATGATCTAAACAATGGATGGAAGGAGAGAGCCCAACCCATCATATTCATTCATAAGGTGAAGGTAAATAGTGGGTAACAAAGGAACCCACAGAAAACAGTATCCTAGGACTAGAAACTCGAAGCATGGTGAAGACGTCCATTAGAAGGCCCCAGGATAGTGCTACCAGGGTGGTACAGCTGGGCTGGACCAAACCCATTTGATAGCTCCTCAGTTAGACAGCTTTTGCTTAGCCTCAGGATAGCAGGATGTTGAAGACATAATTTCTGGAGAGAACTAGGTTGGGAAGGGGGGAGTCTTGGGCTTGAATAACTAGAGAATTTTCTAAATAAAACTTCTCTACATTTGAAGAAACCTGAACTCCAGTGACTATAATTTGCATGTGTGTATAAGAATCTTCTAATTTACAATGGGTTACCTTCCAAAAGTTAATCCAAGCTGTTTGAAACTGGTTAACATTTTTTTTAACCATATATATCTTACAGACAGCAATTAAATTTCAAAGTTAGTCCATAAACTTCCATTTAATTCATACTTTGAAGATCTATTTTATTGCTAGGGCTACTCCCAACAAATGCAAATTACAACTCTTATCTTGTTCCAGTGGCTAAAAACGCCCATCCGCTGGTGACCAACCAGCCGGTCTGACGACAAACAAGACAAGGAAGGTGGATGGGCCCTCCAGTGGGTTTGTTACTGGGTCAGATTTGGAAGGGGTCCATTGGGGCAGGACTTGCCAGGGGCCTTCCCCCGAGATCGTGGGAGAAGCCAAAGTCCTGCCTGTGCCAGATGGGCTTCTGGGGCGCATCACTCATTGACTGGGGAACAGCTAAACAAATTGTGATACACAGCATAATGTAATACTATGATGTAAGAATACAGAGAAGTGTAGAAAGACTTACACGAGCTGGTACAGAGCAGAGTCATCTGAACCAAGAAAAAAAGAGACACGATGACTTTACAATATAAATGGAAACAACGACAAAACAATTGAAACTGGAGGCTGTGAAAGCACAATGCCCAAGCTCAGCCCCAAAGAGGGCAGTTGAGGAAACACCTTCCCCTCCTTCTGTACAGAAGGAGGGGAAACCTGGGCAGAGCGTCACATGATGGGCCTCCCCTCCGACTGTGTGACAGCTTGGTTGGTCTTGCAAGGGTTTTCTTTTTCTTCCTCTTTATAAAGGAGGGCTGTCCGGGAGGGGGTAGAGGGACAAAGAGACAGGAAAGAGAAAAAACAGAAGTCAGAGGAGACCAAAGCAGACTTGCTTAGAGGAAAGGCCATCGTATTTACCAAGAAAGGAGGTCACTGATGACCTTCAAGGGAACAACCACCATGAATTCAGCCTGGCCAGCCTTATGCTCCATAGCATCAAGAGCTAATACTAATTAGATGCCAATAAAATAATCTGGCGTCTCCACAAACAACTTCCGGCATGGCTTACCACGATTACCTGGGAATACAATGAAATAATGAGGGCAAATTTCAGAGACTTTAGAGATGACTTCCTCCCATCCTTATTTAAGGAAACAGAAGCCTA